AACAATACGTCTATAAACGACCTAAAGTCATGCAAAACTGAGCATTACATTCGGAAAGGATCTAAATTAATACAAAACTAGGCAAGACGTCTAGAAACGATCTATTTTAATGTAAAACTGGCCAATAGCCCCAGAGAGGATCTAAATTAATTCAAAACTGAGCAATACGCCTAGAAAGGATCTAAATTAATTAAAAACTTGGAAATACGTCCTGAGAAGACAGGATTAATACAAAGCAAGGCAATACACCCAGAAAAAGATGTAGATTAATACAAAACTGAGCAATACGCTCATAAATGATCTAAATTAATACAAAACTGGAAAGGATCTAAATTAATACAAAACTAGGCAATGCGATTAGAAAGAATCTAGATGAATGTAAAACTGGCCAATATCCCCAGAAATTAATGCAAAACTAGTCAATACCCACATAAAGGATCTAAATTAATACAAAACTTGGCATTACCATCAGAAAGGATCTAAATTAATACAAAACTTGGCATTACTATCAGAAAGGATCTAAATTAATGTAAAATTAGCCAAAATCCGCATAAAGGATCTAAATTAGCAGAAAACTAAGCAATCCGTCAATAAACAACATAATTAATACAAAACTGGCCAATACAGACAAAAACGGAACTAAATTGATACAAAACGGTATTAAACGTATCAAATGAATCTAAAATGATGGGCACTTATTTGATACACCAAGAAATTATAAAAATTAATTTTAAAATAAACTGTGATAAACCAGAAAGTTTCCACATTAATACTAAATTAAGTTATCCAGTAATTATCGAAATTAATAAAATAAAATTTGTGATGCAATTTTTGCTCATTGAAAATGAGTTTCTTTTTCATATAGTCTTGGACCAAAGTTGTCATCATCCAACAATTCTATATCCAATATAGATTTCTACCAAATCCAACACAAAATACTCCGTCTAATGAATGCCGAATGTTTCCTTATAAGGTTAAAATAATGATAATATGCAAAGAATAATCTGAAGTGCTATTGGTCCTGACGAGGCATCGCGGCTTCATTCACATTCCCAACAATGTAATGCAGTTTCCCTCTGCCATCCAATAACACAAAGCAAAAAAAAAAAAAAACGTGCTATGTCATGTTTAAAAATAAAAGGGTAAATTTAGGATAAAATAGAGTTTAAAATGATGTCAATAAACCTTTATCAATACATAAAGGAATCCAATAATGTTATCATATTGGAATTAACTGAAGAACGGGAAAACATTCGAAGAATATCGAAATGAGAAAAGGTCCTACACTTATGGGACGACAATCCTGATTTGAAAGAAACAAGCAGAAAAGAAATAAAATGTAATTTGAAATGCCAAAAATTTAACAAAGAAAAAAAATCTTGTTAATTCTCCGGAAAATCTCTATCTATAAAAGGAAGGGTGTGTGTGTGTGTGTGTGTGTGTGTGTGTGTGTGTGTGTGTGTGTATGTGTGTGTGTGTGACGAATGCACGGGCGCAATTTTCGACGGATTTGCACCAAAATTTACATACACATGCTCCAAGTTAGCGGGAAGGCCATGACCGACTTTGCATTTCCCAACTCCCATCGATAGTGGAAATAATTGATATTTTTATGCTTCTACGGCAGTTTTCATGTACTTTGCAGACATTTTTTTCTGGCCAGAGTGAGAGCCAATAGCTGGCTTCCACGAATAGGCAGGAAGATTCTATTGGCCAGCGTGAGAGCCAGCAGTCATGTGATAGCGATTGCTGTATGAGTCGTACGATTTTTGAATCAAGCACGGGCAACGCCGGGCCATGCTGCTAGTTGGAAATAAAATTAATGAAACCAAGAAACAGAGATTAAAATTTGGAGAGAAACGGAAAATCTATAAAATCAGACAATATCTATAATAATCTGGGGAAACAATTTAAACCAAACTAAACTCAAAATACCCTCAGGAATAGAACATATACCAACATTCACTAGTGGGACGATGTATTCTTCCATCACAAAATGTATTCTTCATTTAACTCTTGCAATTTCCCGCCTTTCCTCCCCCGTAAGCAATGCCTAAATACATGACGGTTTGGGAATACCAGGTAATCTGAACTTGGGTGTACGGATGCTGAAATAGATAATAGTTCAGAATTATTAAACAGAGAGCCGAGTTCTAATTCCAGTTGTGTTCTTTATATTCACTTACGCGCAAATACCGTTAGGAAAGGTATGAATCCACCTCTTCCCCCCATATATGGATTAATTAGTAAAACTTGTATAACAAAACCATTACTATCTCCAATAATAAAATAAATAAAACTTGCGTGCAAAATAGTTAGATTTCGGCATTAAATAGCCCATACAGATGTTGATGAGCCGCTAAACAGTAACAAACAGACAACCAATCTTTTTCCTGTGTCTCCTGTTGCTTCAAAAACGTGGGCGATTGTGCTTCTTCAAAACTTCCTGCGCTTTTTTAGCTCTTGCTAAATTCTTGTTATGTCTCCTAATCCCTATTCTGACAACCAATTAATGAAACGCGTTTGCTACGTTATAGGCTGCCTCTCTGTGAGTGTCAAAATTTCCAAGCCTGCTTTCCTTATTATGTGACTTAGAAATTCAAAATGTATCATCCTGATCGTAAGTATAAGGGTACCATTTGTTTCCATTTTCTCTAAGACTTCGTCGCAGCTCCCATGTTCGTTCCAGCATTCTTAAGTTGAACAACATTTCTGTTTCATCAAGTCTCTTCTTTATCTGTGGGGAGATTGTCTCGTATTCACTGCCGTATAGACATAGCGATATTACATACATATCTATCTATCTATCTATCTATCTATCTATCTATCTATCTATCTATCTATCTATCTATCTATCATTATATCATTCATTTATTTATGTAAAATTGTGTCTCCTTCTGTCACTTTTCTATCTTTCCTTAGGTGTTTTCATTTATTTATACTAAAATTATCTATCTATCTATCTATCTATCTATCTATTGATCCCAATCTGTTTTCTATCTATCTATCTATCTATCTATCTATCTATCTATCTATTTCTATCTTCTATATCAATCTATCTATCTATCTATCTATCTATATATCTGTTATCTATCTATCTATCCCAATCTGTTCGTATCTATCTATCTATCTATCTATCTATCTATCTATCTATCTATCTATCTATCCCAATCTGTTCGTATCTATCTATCTATCTATCTATCTATCTATCTATCTATCTATCTATCTATCCCAATCTGTTCGTATCTATCAATCTATCTATCCCAATCTGTTCGTATCTATCTATCTATCTATCTATCTATCTATCTATCTATCTATCTATCTATCTATCTATCCCAATCTGTTCGTATCTATCTATCTATCTATCTATCTATCTATCTATCTATCTATCTATCTATCCCAATCTGTTCGAATCTATCTATCTATCCCAATCTGTTCGTATCTATCTATCTATCTATCTATCTATCAATCTATCTATCTATCTATCTATCTATCCCAATCTGTTCGTATCTATCTATCTATCTAATCTATCTATCTATCTATCTATCTATCTATCTATCTATTGATCCCAATCTGTTCTATCTATCTATCTATCTATCTATCTATCTATCTATCTATCTATCTATTGATCCCAATCTGTTCGTATCTATCTATCTATCTATCTATCTATCTATCTATCTATCTATCTATCTATCTATTGATCCCAATCTGTTCGTATCTATCTATCTATCTATCGCAGGTTTCTTCGATCATCCTGAAGTAGATCCACATTTCTGTTGCTTCAAGTCTCTTCTTCATCCATGAGGGGGGATTGTCTATCATTCACTGTCCTATAGAAGGAGCGACATTACATATCTAAATTGAACGGCCACTACACCAAGAATATCAACATCAATATAAACGATGGCAATCGTGTGGCATGACATTTTTTTTTTATTTTCCGTGTTCAAATAACCTAGAATTACAGACAGAAAGCTTCAGGCTGCCTCTTAATTTTAATGTTTGAGAACCGTTGGCTAATGATAGCCTAAACATCTGTACCTATGTTGTTGGTTACTCGGAGTACAAAAAATAAATCTATCCAATTGTTATTGAAAGGAAGCCACAGCAATAAATTCACTTCCGCTGGCCTCTCTTATCCGAAATATGACTGTCGCCTAGGTTGGTTTCCTCAGGCACAAATATGTTCACTCAACGCACACACAGCCAGCCTGCAACTATACTGAACGGACATTAATTAGAGTTTATAGAAGAGAGAGAGAGAGAGAGAGAGAGAGAGAGAGAGAGAGAGAGAGAGAGAGAGAGAGACAGTATATAATCTCTGCGTGATCATAAGCTCGATAAATTTAATATAGCAAAGTATGCTATATAGTATAATAATTTCCAGGTGACTTTAATTATTTTGTCAGTAAATACTTGCATTAATTCATGACTACTGACAATATATTTTACAGAAAAAAAAACGTGTATATTTCTTTCTGTTGGGTCATCTATCTATCTATCTATCTATCTATCTATCTATCTATCTATCTATCTATCTATCTATCCCAGTCTGTTCGTATCTATCTATCTATCTATCTATCTATCTATCTATCTATCTATCTAAACAATTTATCTATACTAAAATTATCCCTTACTTTCTCTCTCTCTCAGCTGTCTCTTTCTAGGTCTCTCGATTTCTTTTCATATCTATCTATCTATCTATCTATGGATGTATGTATCTATCTAATCATGTATGTCCATATCTATCTATCTATCTATCTATCTATCTATCTATCTATCTATCTATCTATCTATCTTAGTTTGTTCATATCTATCTATCTATCTATCTATCTATCTATCTAGCTAATCATGTATGTCTATATCTATATATCTATTTAATCATGTATGTTCATATCTATCTATCTTCATATGTAATCAATTTATGTTAAGATTCCCTCATCGTCTCTCTCTGTCTCTTTTTTCATATCAATCTATCTATCCATCTAAACAATTTATCTATGCTAAAATTATCCCTTACTTTCTCTCTCTCTCTCTCTCTCTCTCTCAGCTGTCTCTTTCAAGGTCTCTCGCTTTCTTTTCATATCTATCTATCTATCTATTTATCTATCTATCTATCTAATCAGGTTTGTTCATACCTATATATCTATCTTGATAAGTAATCATTTTATCTATATTAAGATTCTCTCTCGCTTTATTTTTCATTCTTTTCTCTCTGTATTTCCTTCCTTCTACTCTCTCTGTCTTTCTCTCATCTTTCTCTTTTTTCTCTCTCTTACTCTCTTTTCTCTCTCTTACTTTCTCATTCTCTCTCCATCTTTATTCTCCCTTTTTCTTTCTTCTTTTATCTCTCTATCTCCCCCCTGTCTCTTTCTATGTCTATCGGTCTCTTTGTTCTTTTTTCATATCTCTTTAATCATGTCAGTCCATACCTCTCCATCTTCATAGGTAATCAATTTATCTATACTTCACTTTCTTTCTTTCTTTCTTTCTTTCTTTCTTTCTTTCTTTCTTTCTTTCTTTCTTTCCTTCCTTCCTCCTTCTTTCGTCACTCTTTCCTTCTCCTTCCTCTTTCTTTTTCTTTTCTTCCTTTCCTCCTTCCTTCCTTTCTTTTTTCTTTCTTTCTTTTCCTTTCTTTTTTCTTTCTTTCTTTCTTTCTTTCTTCCTTCCTTCCTTCCTTCCTTCCTTCCTTTTCCTTCCTTCCTTCCTTCCTTTTTTCCTTTCTTCCTTTCTTCCTTCCTTTCTTTCTTCCTTTCTTTCCTTCCTTCTTTCTTTCTTTCCTTCCTTCCTACCTTTCTTTCTTTCTTTTTTTCTTTTCTTCCTTCTTTCCTTCCTTTCCTTCCTTTCTCTCTTTCTTTCCTTCCTTCCTTCCTTCCTTCCTTCCTTCCTTCCTTCCTTTACCTCCTTCCTCTCTCTCTTTCTCTATCTCTCTCATTCTCCCTTCCTCTCTCTCTCTCCCGTTTTCTCTCTCTTTCTCTCCTCTATTTCTCGCTCCCGCTCTCTCTTTCTCGCTCTTTTGGGTACATTATTCTTGCCTGAACCCGATACTCCTTCACGAGGTCCGAAAATAGCAAAGGTTTGCATCGCATATCCTTCCAGCATACTTTATGCTTTACTAAATAAGTAGAAATAAAATAAGAAAAGTGGGAGAGAGAGAGAGAGTAACAAAAACAAAGAGAGAGTGTGTATGTGAGAGAGAGAGAGAGACAGAAAAAAACAGAGAGAGCGAGGGATTGTTTGTGGGAAAGAGAGAGAAGTTTGAGTATTTGCTTTTAAAATCTTTTTGAGAGTTCTTCACAAAAGTTTTATGTAGCTCTTTGCCCAAACTCTTAAATGCCCGCCACTTCTCAAAGTTTCGCCATATCTATTTGCCGAATCATATGGAGAACAGACCCGAAAAATTAATTTCACTTCATAAGAAGCTAAACCGTTTGATTTTTTTTAAACAAAAAAAAAAACTGAAACGTAATAACCAATCTGTACGCACGTAAATTAAAATACATGCTGTCTATAAAATTCTTCAGTCCTTTAAATATTTATTAACCTCTTCTATATAAGACATAAATATCTACCTAAGTAACCATTAAATTTCACAAGAATTTAAAGACTATCTATAAAATTGGTTAGAACTGTAAACTTGCTTTCATTTGCATTTTGTCTGATATTTTCTCTAATGCTAAGCAAAGAAGTTAATATCCAAAACGTACCAGGGCTTTTACGGTTTCTTTATCGAAGGGATTAGACAGACGTACAATTATATGCGTACGTTTTAGGGTTTTCACATCCGGTATTCTCCAGGGAAATATTAATTTTAATTTTATTGTGTCTAGGAGAGCCATGTGTTCATTCTTCGCATTTAGTCACGCCCAAAATTGTTGTTTGGAGAGTTAAACTCTCGTTTACTAACTTGTGTCAATTTAATCTAGGAATAGGACGGAAGGGGAAGGAAGGGAAAGAAATATTCCAACGTGCAATCTACGAAACGAAGACACCAAAACCAGGCAAGTAGAAGAATTTAAATATCTCGGAAGTGTTTTGACAAATGATGGAATATGCGAAAGCGAAATCCAAAAGTGCACTGGATTAGCGAAAGATGACTTCCAAAAAAGCTAAGCAGAGTATTAACAGACTTATGCTCAGAATATTACTGTCACATATTGTATTGTACCCCTTGAGCTCTTTGAGAAAATCCATAAGATAAGAATCAGCAATATTATCGGACCTGATCTGGCGGCTCGGCTCGGCTTCAATCACTTTTCTACCGCCTGAAGGTTGCCTTTCTTTGACTTTTCGATAAATACTTTCATGGTAATTATTCGCATGAGCTCTTCGCTACGATATAATTATTATTAATCCCCCTCACCAGTTTCATAGAGACATTGTGGTATTATGGTGGCTGTAGCAAGAATGGTAAGTAAGAATGCGTTGTTTTGGTGTAAGGAATCTTGTGATATAAGTTTAAATTTAAGACAGAAGACCATACTTTTTCCCATACCCTTTTGGACTTATCTCACATTTATATATATATATATATATATATATATATATATATATATATATATATATATATATGTGTGTGTGTGTGTGTGTGTGTGTGTGTTTTGACTTCTCTGACTTCGAAGTCGACTTCTCTGTCTAAAATTTCTTTTCTTTTTTCTTTTTACAGAGAATCAGATTTGCGATGTGGAAGCGAATTTTGCAGGAGGAGTAGTGGATTTGAGGTCATTTATGTTCACTTTGTATTGAGAAATGCAGGAATCTTGACAGCTGATCTGATCTGATCTGATCTGATCTGATCTGATCTGGGGCTTTCTTAATTTAAACACCCCCAAAACAAATCTGCTTTCTATTAATCATCTGAGAGACCCGGCAGTGCCTTTCCATCAGTATGGCTGATGCTAACCTCCAGGAGAGTGACTCGTTGCGCCTTCGCTGGCTAAAGATCTTTGCTGACACGAGGTGAAAAGATTATATTGAATCAATCGATATGATCAGCTGCTAGGAAGGTTGGTTTACTGTGCCGTGCCAAAGAACTTTTCTCACCAAAACAATCATGAACTTTTATATGTCTACCATTCACCCATACATTGAATACTGCTGCCACATCTACTCTGGTTCTTCTGCTATGTATTTAGAGATTATTGATAAAATTCAAAGAATAATCTGCAATGTTATTGGTTCTGTCCTGGCATCCCGGCTTCAGTTACTTTCCCGCCACTATAATGTAGATTTCCGGTGCATTTTCTATAAATACTTTCATGGTAATTTTTCGGGTGGGCTTTTATCTATGGTGCTTAGTCTTACGAATTTAAGCGTAGTACTTACATTAGCTACAAGTTATCATTGTTTTACTATTGAATTGTATATATATATAACTGTAAGTTCTTTACTAACATTTTCTTTTCTGGTACTCCTTCATTGTGAAACTCTCTTCCTTGCTCTCCGGACAACTTTCATATGTAAAAAGTTATATGCATTGTCATCGCTATCTACTGTCTTCTTGATTCCTTTTCTTTTATTACACTCGCTCCTTAAGAACGTTTTCTTTCCTTCCTTATTCTCTCACACTCAGTAACCCCTTTGTGGCTTAGTGACTTTATTGCCTTGTTTGGAAAGAATTGATTTTAAAATATCCACCATTTTCACGAACTCAGAACAAGGATAAATCTTTGATTCAACTGTTGTCTTATGTTAGATATTAGATAATCATCGTCAAATCCAGTTGATGAGAAATTATACGTTAAGCCCGGTGTGGCACTGAATACCTACAAGACCACAGGACAATTTGAATTTGTGTGACATTATCAGGACATCATATGTGGCTCAAACCGGTGTTTGGTTGACTATGGTTGTTGTCCAGTAGTAGGCTCTACTGGTTGTCTCACCGCGTTAGTATTTAGTACAATACTCCGAATTTAAATTGTCCTTTTCTTACTGACTGTGAAATCAGTCTTTTCGCCAAGAGAAAAGCTTTATTATAGCAGTAAATAGTGCAACACATGCAGTCTGTATTGGCTACTTTTATCATCCCCAGTAAGGACATTGCCGACTACTTGTCAGTGACACAGACGCTAAAATTGAGTAAGAGAAACTACCCAGTCTCAAACCTTTGTAGATCATGTGCTCCTAAGCGAAAACTTTATTCTTTAAAGAAGGAATTAGAAAGAAACTCCTTTTTTTCACCGGGAAATTTCATACTGCCTGTTTTTTTTTTTTTCATGCAGGTCTTGTGACAGTCATCTGACACTACACATATCAGAAATAATATGTATTTCCAACAACCTTTGTGACTGTTTATTTTTTTCTTAGTCTTTATCCTTAAATAGTTATCCGTATTTCTAATGTATATTTTTTTCCCTTTTAAATTTATCAAATTTTCGCGTTATTTTTGCTTTTGGAAATTTTGACTATTTCTAAAATTTATTTTTTACCCTTTTAATTTTATTAATATTTAATACTTCATATTACTTTTAAAAAAATTCATATTGTTTTTACTTTTTAATTTTTTATTTTCTTATTTGTTCCATTGATTGTGTTATCATAAAATATAAACATTTTATTTGATAAACGTGGTGAAGAACATAAAATATTCTTCTTTTCTTTTAAATTCTATATGAAATATAAAATCGAGTTTTCTCTTAGAGGAAGAGATCTTGATGCTGCTAAAATTGTAACAGAAATCTCTACAAAAGCTGAAGATGTTGCAATCACCATTGATGAAAAGCAACGGCTGCTATCTTGTGATCAAGTTATCACAATCGAGCTGTGAGTAAATTTAACTAGATTCAGTTAAAAATTTTCCTCGGTAAAGAGACACAATTGTAATCAGTTTTCTGGAGAAAAAAACTTCTCTAATCTGACTATGACCCTATCAAATATATTGTACTTCAGAAATCTGTTTATCTCTGTATAAAACTCTATGACTTACGTTTGTTCTTCTGTCCCTCACACTCTCTAGTTATACATAGACCGATCGAAACCAGATATTGGAGAGAAGTGCAAACTGGTAAGGGAATACAAAGTACAATTGGTTTTACTAGGATGCGTAGCTTAGTATAATAAATGTTCATTCATTTTTTTGGGTGGGGTTAAAAGTTTTATTATTTAACATACAAAATACTCCTACTATTTTAAAATCAATTTAATGATGAAAAAAGTAAATACTTATTTAATAAAATGCAATATTGTCTTTTTGCATATCTTTTCTTAAAGCTTTTATATACAAGAATCCAGGTAACGTCTACGAGAACGGTAAACAAATCACAGAGCCAATCGCTTGAAAAAGTTGAAATTTGGCTACAGAAAGAATTATTTGCGCATGGTCAGTTGTATGTTGCCTGCTCAAGAGTAAGAAATCCTAAGAATTTATTCTTCGCTGTTAAAAGGAAAAAAAGAAGAAATTGAGATCCTATAAAATTAAATGAATGAAATTATTAAACCGTGATGTAAGGTTTTTGTTAAACAAATCACCTTATTCAAATTTCATTGATTAATTTGTGAATTTAAACGAGACCTAGAGTTTGTAAATCTCTAAAAAATATTGCCGATAACTTTATGTGATGATTTCAACGCTTCAGCGGGTTGCAAAAATATTATAGTACATTATATTTCCAACAACCTGTGCATCTGTTTATTTGTTACCTGTTTTTTGTTTCTTCTTAGTCTATAAGCTTATAATATCCTCTTTTCTTTGAAACACACAATGTGTTCATCTCGTAGTAGCGTTTTTTGTAAAGGCAGGAATACATACCTCCTACTCGGTCGAAGCAGGAATCATTCCTCGTTGAGTGAGTCCCAGCTTGTGAGTAATTGAACCATTTCAGACCCGGGAAGTAGTTCATTAAGATTAGGGGAGAAAAAAGACAAAAACAGACGACTTGGTAGTCGTTTAGCCGTCTCGGCTCACTGAGCTATTAAGGAAAGGCACTAAGCCGAATGTGTCCAAACTCGGTGTGGCCGAGCTGATTTCAATGTTAAAACAATTGGCGCAGACTGGGTCGGGAGTGTGAAACAGACTGAGGGGCCATCTTATACTGACGCTTCCAAACGAGGAACAAATTAACAAATACATAGATAGATAGATAGATAGATAGATAGATAGATATGATAGATAGATAGATAGAGGGGGGATTGTTAGAGAGAGAGAGAGGAATAGATATAGATAGATAGATAGATAGATAGATAGATAGATAGATAGATAGATAAGCATAGATGGACAGATAGATAGATGCAGAGACAGAGAGAGGCATAGATAGATAGATAGATAGATAGATAGATAGAGAGAGAGAGGAAAAGATAGATAGATCGATGCAGAAACAGAGAGGCATAGAGAGAGAGAGGGGGGAATAGATAGATAGATTGATAGATAGATAGAGGGGCATAGATAGATAGATAGATAGATAGATAGATAGATAGATAGATAGATAGGGTGCATAGATAAATAGGTAGGTAGAGAGAGAGAGAGAGAGAGAGAGAGAGGAATAGATAGATAGATAGATAGATAGATAGATAGATAGATAGATAGATAGATGAACCAGATCAGTTTCTAACTTATTCAAAATAATCTTCACCCTCTGTGATCTTCTAACTTTCTGTCCTGGAGAAACAAGGTGCCTTACATGTTTCACGTAAGATATAATTTTCAAGTTTTTTTGTTTTTTTGTCACTGTTCTTTGCACTGTCATAGCCGAAACTTTTCTCTCATGTGCCAAAAATCTTATGAATTGAGTTGGATCTTTTCTAATTGATCTCTTTAGCTCTGCTGAAATGATGATCCCTCTTCCTTTTGTGACCAGCTGATCCATTTTTTCCTCTCTACTGTTCCCTCTTTTTTAAACTTACTCACTGTTCTCTTAATGATTCTTGAATAGATTCGAAGATTGACGTCAGAGTATGAAAACTGGTACCATTACTGAAGGCTTGAATTATTTTTTTCCTCTCACGTTTGCTCAGTTGGGAAGTCTGTGGGGCTGACACAAAATTTCCCCACATTAAACCCGACCTTATATCACATCTCGTCTCAGTCAGTAGACCGGGGTAAATAACTAAATGGGTGACCGTTTGGAAATATCTGGTGTTGTAAGCTTGGTTTTTTTCGGGGTGGGGGGATGGATAACGGCCCAAAATGAGAAACTTGAGAGCTGAGTTCAAATTTCAGCCGTCTTCGTTATATTTATTTATGTATGTACCATTGGGAAATGTATAAATCTATTACTTCTCCCCTTGCCGCAAGCTATGGGTTAAATAACAGAATAAACTGGTTATATTTCATAAATGGGGTATTGTAATGATTTACAATGTTTGCGTTGTTCGGACTGTTGTCCTCATCTCTGTTGCTATATTCACGATATTTCGGCCGTTGCATGCTCCGGCCTTCTTCAGGTAATTGGAATTTTAAACTGAACCGTTTATTTCATCCACCGGGGTAGAGTATTCTAGTTCAACGAGACATGGCCCAGTGGGTAAAAGTGTTGGTTGAAACCAGTGACTTGACCCAAAGAATTGTGAGTTCAATACCTGGCTACAGCAGAGGTGAACAAAAACTTGAAGAGCTGAGTTAAAGGGAGATAACTAACACTGAGATATCCGGAAGAGGCGTGGCACGTGGAACTAGAACAATCTACCCCAGCGGACAAAATAAAGGGTTCAGTTCAAAATCCCAATCACCTGAAGAAGGCCGCAGTGTACAACAGTTGAAATGTTGTGAATATGGCAAGAATAATGAGGATAACAATCTGAACAATGTAAATAGTGTAAATAAGAAGAGATTGGGTTTATAGCCTTGATTGCTAACCAGTCTACCGCAAAATATAACGGCGGCCTACTGCGGGAATTCCTCTGCCAAATCATTCATAAATCGGGAAGAGAAATGATCGTCCCAGTGGGCATCATGCCTCACAGCAACAGAAAGAAGTGAAAGTTAAGTTGATGCATTTAGCGACATGTTAACTCTTATTAGATTGTTTAATTTAGAATTTCGTATGAGGTACCCAGTGAGGATTGAATGTATTACTTAACAGTAATGGTTAGTTTGGCGGATTTTTTGACATATCAACCGTCATTGGAAACATTCAAATGTTGTATGGGACACAAAGTGTGGTTCAAACTCACTAGTCAGTAGTAACGACCAACCAGACTAGCCTCGTTAACCATTACCTAATGGCTACATGCCAATTTGGTTAGGTTGATTAATTTTACGTCATATCAACACTTGTTGGGTCATTTAATGTCGAATTTTGCATGGGGCACCCAGTGAGGATCCATCTCACTAATCAGTAGTAACGATCAATCAGACTAGCCTCGTTAACCATTACCTAATGTCTCCATGCCAATTTAGTTAGGTTGATTTATTTTACATATTTGTTGGGTTATTTAATGTCGAATTTTGTATAAGGCACCCGGTGTAGATCAATCTCACTATTCAGGAGTAACGATCAATCAGACTAGCCTCGTTAAACATTACCTAATATCTACATGCCAATTTAGTTAAGTTGATTGATTTTACGACATATCAATCTCTGTTGGGTGATTTAATGTCGAAATTTGTATGGGGCACCCAGTGAGAATCAAACTCACTATTCAGTAATAACGGTAAACCGGACTAGCGTCGTTATGCATTACCTTATATCTACATGCCAATTTGGTAATGTTCATTGATTTTACGATATATCAACACTTGTTGGGTCATATAATGTTGAATTTTGCATGGGGCACACAGTGTGGATCAATCTCACTATTCAGTAGTAACGATCAACCAGACTAGACTCGTTAACCATTAACTAATGCTGACATGCCAATTTAGTTAGGGTGATTGCTTTTACTACAAAGTGAGGTTCGAACTTAGTACTCAGTCAATGTAATGGTCAAACTTTCTAGTGTAGCCTGTCATTACCGTACACAGGGGAACAAAAGAAAGAAAGAAAGAAAGAAAGAAAGAACGAACGAGTGTGTCCTTCTGGATGTGCCAATTACCAGGTGTATATCTTTGTTACCAGAAATCCCTTGTTTCTTTTTTTATTTAAAGAAAGAGGTCATAAACTACATTACCCTCATCAAGATCAGTGGAAAAACAAAAGCTCGAAATATGGAATCACTAACGAGCGAAATCTTTCATGAGGTCCACCTCCCGCGGGGGATTACCGGGGTGGTTCCTTTGTTGGATACGTTACTCTCTTCGCGCGCTTTCTTGTAAAGGGCGCCAATATTGAACTCAAGTAGAGAGAACCGAATGCTCTATTGAACATTGAGCGAAAAGAATAACCTCACACGTCTCACACACACACACACACACACACACACACACACATATATATATATATATATATATATATATATATATATATATATATATATATGCGTGTAGGGTGTGTACCCCTGCGTTCGAGTTTCGATGCAAAGTTTTAAGGAATTTGTACAATAGGTGGTCCGAAGGTGGTCCGGAAGTTCGCCATTATATTTTGCGTGCCAGTGTGAAACAGGAGAAAGGAAGCTATTTCGAAAATGAAGGTGAAAAATTGGTGGTTTTTAGTTTCGTTTAGTTCTTTATTATAATCAAAACGACTGGATGCTTTTTTAAGTTTTTAATTTCCTTTTAAAATAGAACCTCTTAATTGCAAATAAACCATTCAATAGGCAAATTCAAATGAAACTTTCAATACGTTATCTTCCTCTGTAAAAAGTCGACTAAATTCTATCGAGATTGATTTGTCTATTTCGTGTTCATTTTGTTCTGGTTATTATATTTTTTTTTTTTTTTATTAAAAAGTGAAAACTAATTTTAATAATGAATAATGAGAAAAAAAAGAAAATTGCACCTGTGAACAATGACGTCCAAAGTGTCAGTTGAATTAGGCTTGCATCGTTTTTGGTATAAAGTTTTAAGGCGATAACTTTTAAGGCGAAAGCAGAATGGTCTGCGAATTTGGTAGCACTGAACTTTAGATTTTAATTCATTTAATTAATTCATTTAATTCATTTAATTAATAATTACCTATTTCTTAATATTGGGCATTTTATTTGCAACCAAAAACCTGCTTTCTTTTAAAGCGGTCTCCTCAATACAGTCGGTGACGTTTCTTTTTAGGCGAAAAATATCGTGGAGGTGCGATGCTGAGATCCGAAGACAGACCGGGGTCGCCAAGGACGCATTCCAAAAGCTGGGCAGAGCTCTGCGAGACAGGAGGATTTCTTTGGTAACAAAGAAAAGAGTACTGAGCTGCTCCGTGACATATGTCTTCCTATACGGCAGCGAATGTTGGACGGTCTCCTCAAAAATGAAGAAGAGATTCGAGGCGGCGAAGATGTGGTTCTACAGAAGAATGTTCTAAGGATATCATGGAGCGAGCGTGTGAGGAACGATGAGGTCTTGAAGAGGATGCAAACAAGGAGGAAGCTTATACTTAACATCAGGAAGAGGCAGATGAAATTTCTGGGATACGTAATGAGAAAGGAGGGTCTGGAGAATCTGATACTCACAGGTCGAATAGAGGGAAAAAGAGACAAGGGAAAGCAATGCATGATATACCTGGCGGGCTTAGGCAAGTGGATGGCAGAACGTGGCCTGGGGGAGTTTGCAGAGGCAAGAAACTTATTGAGAGCCACAAGGTATAGGAGGAAGTGGAGAGCCATGATCGCCTACGCCCTGGCACATAAAAAGAAAAGAAGTTATGAAGAAACGGATATGCATTTTAAACTAAAGTTTATTCAAGAAAGAGCTCGAAAGCCATTCAAAGTGGAGGATTATAGTCGAGATAAGAGAGGATTATAATCGAGATAAGGGAGGATTATAGTCGCTATAGGGGAGGATTATAGTCGAGATAAGGGAGGATTATAGTCGTGATAGCGGAGGATTATAGTCGCGGTAGGGGAGAATTATAGTCAAGATAAAGGAGGATTATAGTCGCGATAAGGGAGGATTATAGTCGATATAAGGGAGGATTATAGTCGCGATAGGGAAGGATTATCATTGAGATAATTGAGAATTATAGTCGCGATAGGGGAGGATTATAGCCGATATAAGGGAGGATTATAGTGGCGATAGGGGGGAAATTATAGTCGAGATAATGGAGGATTATAGTCGCGATAGGGGGGAAATTATAGTCGAGATAAGGGAGGATTATAGTCGCGATAGGGGAGGATTATATTCAAGATAAGGAAGGATTATAGTCGCGAAAGGGGAGGATTATAGTCGCGATAAGGGAGGATTAGAGTCGCGATAGGGAAGGATTATAGTTGAGATAAGGGGGGATTATACTCGAGACAGGGAAGGATTATCGTTGAGATAATGGAGGATTATAGTTAAGATAAAGGTAATACAGAGTGTTTTGACAAATAGGAATGGCGACAACAAGAAACAAATAAGCATATAAACAAATGAAACATAGTTTGGGCATATTTGTTAAATATTTTCTTTTTGCGTGTAAAACATATGGGTATTTGTTAAAGTAGGACTCAAAGGTGATCCCATTGCTTCATCCTTAGTCTCTGAGTAAATGTCAGCATAATGACCATAAAATAATTCTCGGGTAGTAGTGGATTGTTAATTCT